GTTTCTGAGCCATGGACGACGTACGAGTAGCGGAGTAGCGTCAAGTGAGATTATCTAGCGTTACTGGCATAGATGTAGTGCTGGAAGCGGTAGCAGCAGGAGATTCGTTGCAAAGGAGGTCGAGATTGGTACGGTGATGGTCGGCATGAATCTGCAAATACGGAGTGTTAGCTGATGAAACCAGTGAAGCCCCAGAAGATCCAAGATCTCGAATGTGAACCCAGCTCACCATCCTAGGTTCTACCAAGCTGCTAGGTGTACAGTAAGGCTGTGAGTCGTCCGTCTTGTGGTACGAATGGAGTTTCTAGACCTGTATGAGAACACACTGCTATGAACCCAAGCCACTCCATTTCATATAGTATAACACTAATGAGATGGCTCAGTCGAAGAGTAAACAGCGGCGACTGAACCTTGAATTACAAGACAGAGGCAGGAGTTTGCAGAGGTGGAAATGCTCGATCAAATTTGTCAAGGAAGAGGACAGAAGGGAGAAACAAGTCGAGACCTCAAAAAGGTGAGAGAAGCGTAAACGAGTTAACACGGTCGATAAATGATCAGCGAGACAAACGGTCTTGTTCAAGAGTGCTTGAGCCAGGGTGAAGATAATGGATGGCAGGTGAAAAAGTGGAGGGCAAAGAGAGGGTGCCCCAAGCGCAGTAAATTTCCCTAGTAATCATACAAGGTCAACAGCCAGTGTCTAGGTAGGTACCTAGATAGTGATGCCAGGTCCTCTCAACTAACTTGCAGCGCAAGCCCTAAGATGTAGGCAATGCACTCTCGAACGTCGGCGCCAATAAAGGTACCTTACCTAGGTGGTGAACATATGTAGGAACAATTAAAGTTGACAGGTCCACCGTCCCCGAACTAACTATGCCGTTCTTTGTCCTAGGGCAGATCCTGAACATGGGGGGACCCTGTAGTGTCGATCTCGACAGGGATGACAGTGGATGTCGACTCGGCCGAGTCCTAGAGGTGACTCTTGTGTTCACGCATGTATGTTATGGGAACATTCAAGAACATATCCCATCGTTGGTGATGGATTGTTCCTGTGGCGGGATGTTATACCCCTGAGAGGAGAATAGTACTCAATTGAAACATTCATTCAGGCCTGTCTGTATCACAAATGAACAGTTGCTCTGTCTCATCTCAGTGGCAGCAATTTCATCAGTCTCAATGCCGTGTTCCCTGCCCGTAGAGTGCTGCAGCATTTGCTTGTGGTGACTTGGTTGGCCCAGGCACCGGCAGCATTTTTCTTGTTCCTACCTGTAGTACCTATGTTCACCCACCGGCTCCCGAAGAAGTTAGTCCTGCAAAGAGCTACACCCCTCATATTCCTCCCGAAGTACTGGCTTCAGTATCTTTGCACTGATTTAGAACTTAGAAGTTTCAAGGTTTCTTTATTATCTCATTCTTGCATCGTCACTGGCCTAACCCTATCGATGCGGTCAAAGTTTTACTATGCAGTAACTAGGTACTACCTAGTATTCAACAGTCTTTTCTTCCTCTGCTGCAGGATTCTACACACCTCGTTAACTCTAATAACGAGCTTCCTCCGTCAGAGTACCATACATAGATACCTATGACAGCCCCTTTGACCTTCAAGATACAATAAGCGCATAAGATAACTCGCACTGGCCCATACCTACGCAGATGGGACCCTGAAACAAACGCGTCTCCTCCACAAGGACTAGTGTGTGGATATTCGCACATACGACTCTCAGTTGTTTTTTCAACCTACGATGCTATGGTCTATTCGATCGAAAAATCAATGCAAGGTACGTTTCACCCAATTCGAAGGGGAACCTCGGACAATGGTCGCCTCAACTCTGTGACCTATTAACTAACTGGCTTTCGGACCAGATCAAGATCTTACGTCGAGCTGGAAACAATCCAAAGGACTTGCTTTCACCAAATTTTACAGCTCAAGCCATTCGGGAGCTTCTTCTGTGTGTGCCCTAAAAGTCACCGACATTGACTCTCGCGATTTTGAAACACCACCTGCCGTCGTCGAAGTGGACACTCTTCCGTTCAACTCCGAAAAAGGAAAGGCGACCAGTATAAGATACAGTCAAGTCAAATAAAGCGACCTGGTATCTTCGCTACAAGGAAATCAGTCTGAACCCTGATATTCAGCATCCACAATCATCGACCGTCCTTCACCGACACAAATTGAAGCGGGCACTTTACGCGAGACGAGCCAACATTGCCACACTACAGTTTCCCAACTCTGGATGGTGAATCTTAGGCTGATATTAATGGTGGTCTGTTCCTTTCAGCTACTATGAACTCATTTGGCAATCTCTCGTTCGGCGGTCTTTCCATCCTCATGTCCAGATTCTGCGTTCACCACATACACCACTTCTACCCACTCAATCGTTGCAATAACCCATGACGGACATCTCTGATCCATAGTTAGAATGGATACGCAATTACGGAAAGCTGGCCTAAAGTCAATGATGTGAAGCTGGGGGGCCGTAATGTAAGTCTCGTTACGGGCCCCGGCAGCTAGGTTAGATGGGCACATGGAACAATGGCCGACAAGCAAGGTTTAAGACTCTGAGTGTTTTCTATCTTGCGGTATTATCCTGGGTCTCACCAACAACTCATTTAGCTTGCAAGTAAGATGCTGACTCTCTCGCCTCTAGCCCCTGTCTTGACATTTCGTATACCGATCCTCCCTGCCATCAATAGAAAATAAGAATACTCAATACTAGCCACCATACAAAAACCGATATACCGAGGGCAGGCCAAATATAAGTACCGCGAGCGATCGAATGCGAATGCTGTGTGCCATGGCTCAACAGCCAGCCGGGAAGCTGGACAACACGATCAGGACATGCAACATTGAGCTGCGACTCGATCTATATGCTTCAATAGATATTGATGTACAAAAGACAGTATTTGCTTCTTATATACCACAGTTTGAGAAATGGACGCTGATGTCACTACGATGATGATCTCTGACAATTGAGTGGCGTGAGCAAGAGAAGCTCACCCATCGACAAAATTTTGACATTCCTGAATCCTTAGCTGTGCGGTAAGTATGCTGTCTGAGAATTCTCTAGCTTACAACTGGTCAGGACACTGAATCATGATTCGTCATGCTTATAGCACTCAAAAGCCATCATGATGAAGTTATCGCCGCCACCTCCGCACTAACAGCGTTACATAGCTGTAAATCACCATCTGGTTCTACTTTCAGGACTTTGGTCAGACTGGTTAGGTAGGGAAAGAAAGAAAACTTAAGACCTTAAGCCTAAATAATGATAAAAACTTAAATAAATTTATATAAAGTTTGGATTGTTATTAAATTTAGGATATCTTTTGCTGGATCTATTTTAACACCTTACATTAAGGTCCGGTATTTTCTTGCTCCCTGAGGACTGGCAGCTTTTTTATTTACTCCAAACGCACAATCGCATACCAATGTCACACGGACTGAGATTCCTGGTCTGCTGTATATGCCTGAAACGGAGAAGGCTTCGCATTACTCACATGCCGTCTTACCAGAGCAGTTTGATGGCTTCATCTAGTTTGACAAGTCGAAACACCTTGGGACATTGGAGGGTCCGGCCCAAGTCACCTCGGGCATACCATGAAACATGGCCGTTTGGATTATAAGCCGTTGCTAGCACACGAGGTACTTCAAGTCAGTGTGATGGTTCCGTGGTTCACCAAGTGTGTGTTCCATTGCGGGGCCCCGCGATTCTACAATATGGGCAATGTGATATGGCATGACTCAAGCGTGATGAGCCGTCTATGGTCCTCACATAGTTAAATGGCACAGTTACGCGTGGTTAGTAGCCTCACCTCTTGGTTCGCCTCTGGCAATATGCTCTCCAGACCATAAGCCAGGCTGCACTGCTGCCACGGCAAACTTGTATATCTTAACAGGTTGTGTCAGAGAAGCGGTGCTGGTTCAAATACGCATCGAGGAATCTCACCATTTGGTCCATAGAAGATTGGTCTTGACGAATTGTATCGTATCGTATTCTCATTATCGATCGACTCGGGAGCCCAATATCCTTACCATCCTCCAGCCATCATAAATGTATTAGCACCTCAAAAGCAAGTCCAACTCCAGCCCGCGCCCAAATCTCAAATCCTGAGGGCCGTTTCCACGACTAGTACCTGTGTCGTGTAGAATAATCCTTGGGACTGACGACCAAACCACGGCCCTTCTTGGCGCCTCGATACACCGTTTCGAAAATGTCAATGAGTTCTTGCTTGTCCTCAAGAACCCACTTGATCTTGTTGTTGTCACCGGTACCCAGATCAATCATCATGTGTTTGTTTCGGAAAAAAAACATGAGGGAGCACGGGTCATACAGCTCGTACATCTGGTTGAAGTCGGGCACCTGGTCGATATCGCAGAGATAAATCACGGCGAAGTTGCGCACCTTATCGGCGATCTTGTACAGCACTTCGTCCTGGCGCATACAATCTGGATCCCAATCGCGTCCGAAGCGAATGACGACGAGGCGATCTTCCTCTGAGAGGTTGTTAGTAGATGACAGGCAGAAAGGTTTGGGGGATTGTACTTACCTGAGAGAATGGCTTGGTCCACATGCCAGCCAGTGTTGAGATGGGGAAGTACGACGGAGCCCATGATGAGTGTACGAAAGCGCAAATGGTTCGTGAGTATGCGGTTATACGGCGACTACCTGGGTGAGTAGCTGGTGATGATACGATCAAATTTGGTGGTGGTGTTTTGGAAAAGGAAAGAAACTATGATGGAAGGCGGCGGGATGTCATGAGGTGAGCGGTGTGGGGCCTACGCTAGCTTTATTTGGCCTCAGGTGAACAAACTCTCACCTTGGCGGAATATCAACCCAGTGTAGGAGCACAAAAGCTTATACCGGCATTTGAGAACAGTTTTTTGGCAGCGAAAGACTGCAAGACAAACCATCGAATTCGCTATATAATTTGCCACTAAAACACTTTCCTGAATCATCTCCATATAAACTTTTTACTTAATGTTAAGCCCATGGGACTCATCATCACTTATCGAACTCATCAATGACACTCCTCGGTTTGAAATACTTCCCCAAAGGCTCAAACTTGAGATGGCCGAGTCCAAAAGCCTCGGGACCTCCAATCTTTATCCCTCTCTCAGTTCCAGTCCACCTGTCACTTGCTGCTATTCCCAATACTACAACAAGCAACCCATAGCGATATTCAGGTGTCCCAACTGCCTCTCCGTTCTGTGCATCAATTACACAAACCAAATCAGGCGCAATGGCTAGGATATCCTCCTGAAGCTCCTCCTTTCGATCAGGATGGACTCTCAGGGCAGCTATATTCTCGTTCTTGAAGGGAATCTTGACAACCCCCTTGAACTGTTCAGAAATATCCCCTGAAGCCATATGTTCATCGCGAACATCAGCCCCTTCAATGAGACACTCGCCATAAACATGCCCATTTCTCAAAGTTCTTTCCACGCCAATAATTTTGCCTTTCCACAGAACCTTGCCCGCTCCTGGGCCGCCACACTCTTCAATGATTGTTTCGGCGACATTGTCTACGCGGTTCTCTTTCCGCGCCCGAGCTACGGCACGACCTATTCTCCAGGACTGTGACAGCGTATGTTCGACAGCCCAGCGTTTTGTCTCTTCTCCTGTGACAGGTGCATCTGCGGCGCCAACTTGGGAGCCCATCTCACTCAAGGCAGAGCGGATGATACGCTCCACAGCTTCGTCGGAGGATGCTTTGGGCATGACGAGCACGTTGCCGTTACCGTCGCTCACGGCGATGGGTGACCAGATAGTGTCCCTTTCCTTGAAAACGACAGGTGTTGTTTGCCATTTTGTGGGATATGCTCTCCCCATCCAGTCTCCGTCAACTGTAGGGATGTCCATCTGATCACTTGACCCAAGCAACAACCCGCTCAGTCCGTTGGCGCCCCCGACTTCAACAGATATCATGTGAGTAGCGGAAGTATTGCACATCTTGTACAATTCTTGCTGAGCTTCGAGTAGCTCATCACCAGCTAGCTTCTCGATCGCCACGGTAGGACTCCCTGCTCCACCACCACAACCAACTCGTGCATCGTCTGGAAGATCTTCAGGATTGACGACTCTGATTATCGCGCCATTGCGTAACTGAGTTCGTAGTCGTATCATCAGACCGTAGGGGCTACCGCCGCCTCCAGTACCAAGAATATAGCAACCTATTGCGATCCATGATACATCCCTTTCAGAAACATACCAAGTTCGGTTTCTCACATCGGGACGGTATGAAAGGATATCAAAATCCCCATCTTGTTGTTTATTATGCTTCCGGCCTGTGTTCTTAGTATTCTTCTCATCGTGTCCCATGTTTTGGTGGTCTCCGTGCTCAGCCTGAGATTCAGGGGCAACTACTTCTTTCGAGAAATCGAAGTCTCCAGTCGCCCGAACAACAAAACGAGTTTTGTTTTCAATATACTGTCACCTCATTAGGAAGCTCCAGAGCATCGCATATGAGTTGCCTACCTGGAGCGGGAAAACTTCCTTCTCAACAACTTTAACAGTCGATCTTAGAGCTCCAGCCTCAACCGTCTTTTCAACGGCAGCCCGACTAACCTCATCAAGGCACTCATTCGTCGATTTGGATACCGTCGACTGAACTGTATCCACAACCGCACTCACTCTTGCTATCGCAGCGCCAATAGCATTGGCGACCTGTGACCACTGCGGTTTAATAACCTTGCTCGCGCCCCTGAGCTCATCGGGAGCAATGACAGCTCCACCTCCCACCAGAATAACTGGTATGTCTTTGGGTGATGTCTTCATAGTGTCGATAACCTTTTCTAGCTTCTGTTTGATTGTCACGCTAACCTTCGTGAGCTGATCCTCCGAAAGAGCGCCTTTCATGAGGGCTGGGTCGCCAATCTTCAGCTCTGGATTTGTTAGGACAGTGCAATCGGTTGCTGTAAGAACATTTCCTCTAAATACAACTGCTTCCTCCGGGAGTTTATATCCAACGCTATCTGGCCCAACAGAGACACTACTGTCTATTCGTACGATAGAACCTCCGCCGAGACCGATGCTCTTGATATCGGGACAAGAATAGTTCATCCTAACTCCCGAAAGATCGCTGTAAGCTGCCTGTTGACGAGGAAAGCCGTTCTCCAGTAGAATTCCGACATCAGATGTGGTTCCCCCAATATCAACAACCATCATGGCTTCGTCCAGGTCGCCTTGCACAAGGAAAGCAGCTCCTCTCATACTGTTGGTAGGGCCGCTTGAGAAAGTTCGGATCGGTAAACGAGCAGCAAGCTCGCCAGACAGGACAGTGCCATCATTCTGAGTGATGAACACTGCACAATCCAGGCCTAGCCTCTTAACCGGTTCGTGAAAAGATCGAATGGTGGTTCGGGCAAAAGGCAGAATGGAGGCGTTGAGAATAGCTGCGTTTTCTCTTTCGAGAAAGCCAAGATTGGCAACCTCCTTGGAGCACACAACATCACAGCCGGGTATTTCAGTTTTGATTATATCTGCCGCTCGCTCTTCTTGTCGTTCCACTGTATCAATAGGACTGAAAATACCGACGACAACCACACTATTAATCCCTTTTTGTTTAATAATCAAGCACTGCGTTTTGATCTCGTCTGGATCAATATCGGATATCAAACGGCCATCAACTTCCAGTCCGCCATGTACCAGGGCATGGTGACCCAGGATAAGCTCTCTCATGTCATCAGGCCAGTCGACACATGGCAAGTTATGCTTCGAGAAGGGTCCGCAGAGACGAATCACAGCAACCCGTGACAGTCTCGCAGCATCTCTCTCAACGACAGCATTCACAAATTGTGTTGTCCCTATAGTCACGCTTGCGACTTCGTGAGGGCGGACAGAGCTTGAGCTGAGCATCGTAGTGAGTGCATTGTTAATACCGATACTTGGGTTCGCCGTTGTCGGTTCTTTGTGCCATGCAATGATTCCACGATCAGGCGCTGAGCTCAAGAGGGGATCAATAAGGACACCGTCTGTGTTAGTCCCACCAACGTCGATTCCAATGCGAAGACGCCGTGATACTATAGTTGTGCTCATGGTGGATAGTTATGCCCACTCGTGGTGTCGTCTGTTGATATTCCAGTGTTGGCAGATAATCGCTATGCGCTGGATAACTTGCGGGACAACAACTGCCGCAATGTGAGCAAGTTTTATGATAGAGTAACAAGGTCATGTCACACAATAGTTTGACCCGATGCCGGGCGATTGAGCTCCGCACGAGAGAGCTTGGTTATTATTGGCCTCATGTGGGGGAAGGATCAAGCATGTTGGAGCTTCAGATCAAAGATAAGATCCTTATCAATCAGTAGGATCTCAAGAGTCACCAGTGCATCGAAAGTCTTGACCAGCAATCGGCCCTTATGCTCTAGTAAAGAATTTGAACCATCCATATGGCCCAAATGATTTATCCTACCACTGCCTGTCATATTGATGACAGATCTTTGACCAGTTGACAAAATTCATCATCTTCAAAGTAAATCGAAACGTGAATTCTTATTCATACAATGATTACCATCCATCCTATGACTATGAGAGGCATCGAGCTGCAGTATAATCACAACTCTGACTATCCCCATCGATCACCTATCCACATCTCGCTCTCGAGTAATAAACAAAGCTATCATAGTATACTAAGGCTTGTATGCTATTTCTGCGTTCCTCCTAGAAATATTCCAGCCGAGAAGTACAGAAAGAAGAAAATAAATAAAAAAGTTCGCCTCTCAAAGAAAGGATCATGAAATCTTGCGTATTTCTCACGACGCCTTTAACGCCAAATCTGTGTGTACCCTCCCGGTGCGTCGCTCCGCATGAAGCCCTGGCCAGAAGTTGGTAAAAAATAACGAGTCTCATGCAATCATTGTCCCTATGCCAGTCCCCGTGCTTTCGTCTATTGCAAAATACAAGGTCCATTGTTTGGTGCTTAAATCTCGATCGTCTCAATCGATTCGTCCACCACCTCGGGTTTCTTGCCGTTCGCCTTGGGAGATGGTTCTTCTTCCACCTTGAGGAGGTCGGATTCCACTCGGGGAATGCTGGTAGTCACTTTAGGAGTTTTGCTGTCCTGGCTTTGCCGGGGGCTTTCAACCTCTACAAGCTTCTCAGGCTGGATATATGCGTCGGCCAGCTCTGGGATTGTTGTCTCCTCTGTGACCTTACTCAAAGGTGTCGCCTTTCCGTATCCTGCGCCTGGTCGGGGGCTGGCCAAAGGAGATGATCCACTGAGTCGTTGCATAGATCGGCCCCGGGGCTCGCCATTCTCACCACCACTACCATAAGGTGAAGAAGAACGTGAGCCAAGAGGAGAATTAGGCTTGGGTCCCATTGACCTTCTGTTTGAAGCTGCCCTTCTTCCGTATTTCTGATCCATTCTCCACCGGAGGATGCTGAAGTACGATGGCTCAACTCTTGTCTCTTTGAACTCTCGCAGCTTCAATTCGTTGGTTTCCTCATCCACATACCACTTGCCACTGTTGAGATCATCCGCGACAACAGCCAGGAACGCAGCCCAAGAGCGCGCGACAACGTACTTAGTATCGTAGTCACGACCAAACAGAATGATCTGGCCCCACTGGCCACCCGGACCAGGAGCCAGATCGACGGCCAAGTTGTTGCCACCCCAGTCACGGACGAGGGGGATCCATGAGCTATGAGCATATGCCTTTTGAACAGCATTGGGGGGCACGCAGTCTTGACGAGAGAGAAGATCTTGTCTCCAAGGACCAGGGCTACCGCCAGCTGCGGCGCCTTGCTTGGAAGAAGAAGCCTCATTGCTGCCACCAAAAGCCTTGGAAGGGGTAGAGGGCTTGTTGATGGATGTTTCGAGCAAATACTGGTGATTGACGGTCCTCCAGTTATCCCATTCCTGGACAATCTCTTCGCAATCCAGCAACATGTGGCTAAAAATAATTCCGGTCGGCATTCCTCCTCGTTCTTGACCATCATGAACCATAAGCGAGTCGCGGACGTCTTGAGGAAGAGAGCAGTCAAGCTGATGCTCCAGGTCGTTCAGATCATTGTTGGTAGCACCTTCGCATAGCTGGTCGTAGAGCTCTGGATAATTTTCATCCGCCCATGCGTCTATGCGCCTCCAGGAATGAGCAACTGGGGGGGCAGGGGGGAGGCCATCGGCAAAGTTTTGCATTGGGACATCGCCGGGGCTCTGCACCTCGAAGCCATCGCCCTGGCTAGCATTTCGCGCACTCATCGATCTCAGGCCAGGTGAATAGGGGGCGCTCGTTGGAGCGAAAGTAGCGCCGTCGGGTTGGAGAGGAGAAGCCCGGCCGGTTTCGTCGGAGTAGGGAGATGAGACATCGTTTCGAGAATCCGAGGCTGTTGCTACGCCAGTCATGATACCGCCTCGACCGTTCTGTAGGGGGACATGTCGACCGGTACGATAAGGGGAGTCAAATGAGGAATCTGCAAGTTGTTCAGTATGTGGGTTTTGAAGTGTTGCGCTCCGGTATCAGGGGGGTCGCATACGTCTGTCATAACTGGTCATAGTATGCCAGAAAGACCTGATGGTCGCACCGAAACTATTAAAGTAAAGTGTCAGCGGCAGGCAAAAGCAATAAGCGATATCGAATGAGGGCATCATCAAGACATACGTGTTTGCCATTGTGGCGGCAGTAGGGGCTCAAAACCCAAAGAACGGCGGAAAAGGGTGAACGAACGTCGGTTGCTAGGGGTCTGGTTGCGACGGGAAGACAGGGTGAAAAGCCACGATGAAAGAGCCTGAGCCTCGTCTAGCGATTAAAGTAAAGCGGTGTGAAATAAAGCGAAAGAAGAGAGTGACCGAGCGAGAAAGATATGCGAGAGAGCGACGAATGGAGTTTGTTGATGAATGGATGATGATGTAGGGTTCGAGGTGAAGATTGATGCCGCCGAAAAGTCCCAAAAGCCCGAGTTGGTTGTCCAATCCAATCTAATCCAGGGGAAACCTGACGAGCCAAATGGGCCAAATGGAGCTACAGGAGGAGAAAGGTGGCTGCTGGCCGGTGGTCTACTCCGCTCGGACGCGTGGGGTCTTCTCTTTCTTTTTTTTTTTCCCACTGTCGTGTAAGGTCCTTAGAAGTGGATGCACCAGGGGAAGGGGATAGGCGAGGTAATTATAGTAATCTTGGGTGTAACTTGTGAGTTTCTAGTTGCAATCTCGAAGCATGAAATACTTAGACGGGTGCTGGTGAGGGGATACGTTACTAGAATGGGAGGCCGGCACTGGAAAAAAGGACCCTGAGATGGATGATGGAATGAAACAGGTAGTGGGATGGATGGATGCAATAAAAGGGCTGGCACATGAGAAGAGATGATGCGAAAGAGGTTGGCTTCTTTGTTTTGTTGTTGATTGATTATTCAAAGCGACCAATAGACAGACGAGTTCTGGTGTCTCTCATTTGGAGCCAGCGTCTCCGCAGTGCCTCAGTGCACTGCAGTCCGGCACTCGAACAGTGGAGTGTGGCGGAAGTGATAAGGGGCTGACAGATGATGCTACTGTTGCATCGAGGTCACTGACACTGAGTGGCTGCTTCGGCTTCAGATGGACAAGGGCTGCATAAAAGTTGGCAGCAGAGGGGAAAGGGGACTAATAGGAGATTCTCCGCGATTAGGTTAGAAAGATGCAGCCAATCGTCACTTAATTAACTACTAGGTAAGTTGATAACCTCTTATGCGTACTCCATACTAAGTACGGATGGTATCCGTACTTTCCATCTATTAAACTCAATGCCATTGTTTTCCAGGCTGTACCGGTTTTCACAAACTCAATGGACGATCAATTCAAAATACTGGGTTCCAACATTCCTAACCACGCGTGATCCAGCTGAAGCCCATTCAATGCTCCTGAATTCCATCACATTTCCATTCCCTAGTTTGACTAGGTACCTACTTAGCTACAGTCCATGGCCGGGTTTGAGACGGTCAGGCGAAGGCCGCGGGGGGGCTTGCATAAGGTAGGGTATAGAAGAGCTAGCAATGCAAGGTACCGCTCCCGCAAGCACACTATGGCCCGCTACATGTTTCGAGATTAGGTTCAGGGGCAGCCCAAATCCACCTAATTTTGGCTGGTCCTGGTCGCAAATGATAACGCGTTGCAGAAATTCAATGGACGACAGACACTGAAGAGAAAACGCCGTGGCTTATTCTTGTTTTTAGGGGTCCGATATAAGTAACTAGCCACGAAACTCAATGCTGCAAAATGGACGACGACAAATGCTGCAATGACAGAAAATCCACCATGTGGAAACCTACAGTATGCGTATTTGATCAACAGCAAACTTGGTGTTGTGGAGCAGCTGATCGATCGATAGACAATCCATCTCATGTCCATGTCCATCATGTTGAACCCCAAGAGATGTCACGGACCTGAATACAGAAGCTTTAAATAAAGACATCTCGCCTCCGTTTGAGATTCGATGCTTGATCCTTCCATTACAAATTCACATTCAGGGTTCATTCAGACCGATAATCTTTGCACTCTTGAACCTAGGTAATATGATCTTCCCCTAATCTTGTCCTCTGTATTTACCCAGATAATCTATACACTCCACGAAAGACCAAAAATATCTTTCGAAATCTCTGAATCTTATTTACGCTGGACGATGTGTTTATCAACAACCCCTGCTGCTGTTGGCATTGAACAATACGGATATCGCAGCTGTTCCGAATCCAAATCCCCTATCGCCATAGATTCTGCCATTGCCACCTCTGGCTGGGCTGCCTCATGAAGATCCCGTCACTCACAGACGTTGCTCAGATGCGGGGGAGGAAAGTAATTTCTAATTCTGGCGTCTCTGTGAGACTGCAACTGTGATGTCACTTGTTCTTGTGTCTGCTACACAAAGCATGGTCATAAGATGGCAATTCCCTTCTCACTGGTCTTTGCTTGTGTCCATCATGGCTTTCGCATGGTTCCATACGGGTATTTGCCGCGACTAACAACAAAGGCCTGTATTTCTGTGTGTATCCGTGACAGTCAATCAAGCTTGATTGCCTACGGCAAGTTTTAGGGCGATATTTAAGCTGTCATAAACAGTTTTGTTTGGTTTCATACTTGATTTGTATAACCACGCATCACGCGTCGCTACTCCTGTACACTTCAAATCAACCACTAACATACCTGTCCCAAGCAATCCCTCAACTCCATTGAAGCCCAGCACTTCATGCATCACATATCGTCTTGGTCTATCTATGTCTGCCACATGTGCTCGCTCAGCCCGAGCAGTTTGTCCTGCATCTGTCGCTTGGCTGCAGTGGCGATTCCTCGTTCAGGATTTGCCATAGCCTCACTATAGCAGAGCTCGACAAGTGCCTTGAGTTCGTCGTACGAAAAGTTGTCTGGGTCCTGCGCGCTGGTTCCCCGTTGCTGCTCTTTGTCCTCCTTTGCCTTCTCCACAATGGCGTCTGCACCTTGTTCGTATAGCGAAAAGTAATTTGCTGCACGCGCCAGGTCTACCCCTTCCTCCACGTTCTTGAGGTTCTGTTGCAGCACAAGAATGTTGAGTTGCATACGCCCGCAGCCCTTGTCATTCATAGGCGACGCTTTGCATGCATTGCTCACAAGATAGCAGTTTATAAGCAGCCCCAGACCCGTTCGAATAAAGGCTATCTCTTTCTCTCTGAGATACTTCACGATCGTCTCGTCAAAGAATACCAATTCCGAGTTGAGGCTCAAGATCTGGGGATCAGGTTCACTCACTTCCTGGTCAAGCAGGTAGGGTGCCACCTTAGGCGACAAGGCAATGGACAATGAATGAACTATGCGGCACCGGATCTCCATGTGGAGAGTTAGTAGCGCAGTTCCTGCAAGTTCTTCGAAGGACGACACTATGCTGTCAAACGCTCTGATGATTGATCAGTTATATGTTTCCCTATAAGATCGCATTACTTACTGCACAGTTTCCTGTGTTAGTGGTAGTGACACAGGACCTTCTTCTCCTGCGGTCTTGCCAGTATCGTTCATAAGAGTCCATCTTCGGCTCGAATGTCGAGGCAGATTTTGTCGTGATGTATCGGTGTCATGCGTTGTAATCTGCCGCAGGCCAGCAATTTTAACTGCAAGCCACTTCATGCTGGTGTACAATAAACACAGGGATGAGATGGAATCTCGATCCTGAATGATGTCACCCGAGTCGAGTGGCGACTCATCTGTGAGTTCCATCAACAAGTGTATCTCCTTTTCGGCCAATTCCCAATCCATCTCTTCTGACATGAAAAGCTTCTTCATTGTTTCTTGTATCTCTCCCTGGTCCAGAGAGAATCGTGCCGATGACCTCAGGTTGTCGTTGCTAATCTCGGTGGCCGGATCCAGAGCTTTGACGACAAGCGTTTTGAACCAGCTGAAGCAGCGGTCATAGTATCGCATCATTTGAGTGACAATCAGCGAGCTGAGTGCTTGGTCTGGTGGTATGGTTCCCAGCATACGACAGAAAGCGGTCACAACCTCGAAAAAGGCTGTTGTTCCTCGGAACACAGGCCGACGTGCTACCTGGCTCCAGGCTGGGTCTTGTGTGAATGCATCTGCCTCCCCAAAGACGGTGTCGCTCAATTTGGCGAGAGTCTCGTCCAGTTGTGGTTGAAAGACATTGACCAAGAAATTGTCCAAGAACGTTGTTAGCGTGCTTGCTGCCAGGTCTGAGCCGGGAGGGACGATGTTCTTGAGACGCTGCAGGAAGACCAACGTTGGCGGTAGTAACAAGCTCATATTGAAAACACTAGGTTCCACCAGAGATTTGTACGAGCCTGTTGTTTGATGACTGTTTCCAAACGGACCATCACTTCCTGCTCCTGCTCCTGCTCCTCTTCTTCCTCCTTCCTGGACGTTCCGCCCTTTTCTGTCTTGCTTTCGAGATCCTAGCCCAGGAACGGCATCCTGGATGATGTTGTCCAATGCGTCGTATTCACTCGTCATCTCAACAGACTTTGTGTTCGCTTCAGAAAACTTGAAAAGATGCTCTCGTATGTCTTTCTTGCCATGGAGCGTATCTCCTGGGTTTGGCGAGTCGAACTGATAGACATCTGCATCGGTCGTAACATAATTATGCAGCAAGGATCTAATCTCGTTCTGGTATAGATTCCACAGCTCTTTGAAGCTTCCAAGTAGGGCACTATTGTTACCAGCGCCTTCCCTTCGGATCAGGACCTTGATAGACTCGTGGAACACACGATGACCTTCTCCAATTGCCTCAAACTTGCCATATAGAGACCATAAGAGGTCGTAGATCACATCTGCTCGCATTTGTGTTTCACGTGTTCCATAGACGTGAAGACCATCGCCTCTGGCTGATCCTCCTCGTAAAGAGCTGGGATGCCTTTGATCCACCTCGTTGATAGTCTCATTGACGATGGTAAAGAGCTCAACTGGGAGTCGCTGCTTAAGAGTCTCCACGGCATTTTGCAAACGTCCGAGCCTGTTTAGAGATTCCACCAGCAGTCCTACATAGTAAAATGTATCGGCTTCGGGATTTTTCATAGGATCTTCCCGGACCGTCTTGTCAACGTCAATGGCATCGAGAACAACGTGAAATGGGGCGATGGGCTTGATATCACCAAAGCCTTCGGTGACGGCGCCTTGCGTTTTAGCCAAGCTCTGCCATCTTTCCTGGCAATACGGTGACTTGAGATAGAGGTGCTCGTGTAGCTCTTCTACAAGGATATCCATCAGGGCAGTCTCTTGGTTTGCAAGGTAGCTCCTCAAGTCAGTAAGGGCACCAATATCGTCCAATTCAGGCTTCCGTAGCTTTCGCAGCGCATTCTGAAGCACTTCCACAGCCGTCAAGAATCTCTTCTCCGATATCCTTGCCTCCAACTGATCCGGTACTGCTCGGAGGTCATCCAACTCATTAAGAGTTTGCACCAAGGCGTCAAACTCTTGTGATGATTTTGAAAGTTTCTTTAATTCAGGATCCGTTGCGCAGAGACTTGTTTTGGAACTCGCCAGTGATTCCTTCAAGGCACGTACTCGCTTCTGCGACTGCTGAATGCTACTTTGAATTTTGTGAAATGTACCTATAGAACTGTTGAAGCCCTGGTGGTGTTCGTGGACGATGCCCTTAAGCGACTCTTGCAGGTAGTTATGTGATTGCTGGAACTGGGCGTATTCGTGAGCGCGACCAACCGAGCTCCTGTCGAGGAGCTGCAACGCCAGTTGAACAGGGACACAATCGTCTTGACACATTGCAGGCCATTCTTTCTTTATGTGGTCGATAACCTCGGTAATTTGCCGTGCAGCATGAGTGTCTGCTGGTTGTGGTGGAGCTTGTACTTGTGGTATGCGTGATCGGGAGGACATCTGTCGAAGACTGGGTGGTGGTCGCGGCTGTTGAGTGGCAGGCGGTGTGGCATATCGATCGCTGCCGTAGCCATCTTGATACCCGGACCGGTAGTCATCGTTGGAACGTCCAAAGTTGCCATAGCCGTTACCTTCGCGGTGAGGTCGGTCGAATCGATTCGACATGATGGGTATGAGGTTGGGAGATGGCGGGCCGATTAGGAGAAATGGGCTGTTTCGTAGCGCATCGTCGCCATGCAGAACACGACGGGTAGTGCTAAGGCAGCTCTGGGAAAATAGAAGGCTCGTAGGTCTATAATGTGCCTATATAGAGAATTAAGTCGCGTTCACGCTGCGGAAGTTAGAGGTTGGGTCGAGGGGCGGGAGCTGGTTAGGTCACCTGGTGGCGCATGAAGGGGCAGGGGGTTATCTAGGTAAGTCTGGATCACTGGGCAGTACAGGAGCTGAGGAGCTACCTCTAATCTTGGGTACCTAGGGTAACTAGCCGCTCACTGTCTGATTTAGAGACTGGACCTCAATTATTCAACTGTAGCCGTGAGGAAAGGTCGCCATCAACTTTATCGATTGACCTACTGCTTGATTGTGAGAATACTTTTACGCTGATATAGCATCAATTTGAAAGAGCCTCATTACAGGTGAGCCGAGTTCGCTTATAGAGATGCAACATCCATAATGGTCAAGTAATAGTATGAACAGTTCAGTAATATTAAAAAAGATAACAAATTAAAAAGTCGATATCTTGACCAGGTAAGATATAGCGCAGTAAACTTTACTCTGCTGTTAGGCTTTTGGTATATAATTTTGCTCTTAAGCGTATGGTTTTCATAGCAAGTGACGAGACTCAGAGAAAGAAAACCGGAACGACGGTATTGAATTAAGTTCCACTACCTACCTGCCCTCATACGCATCATCCTGTCAATATTCATCAATGAGTACCTCCGTGTATAGCTGCTTGCGGAGGGACAAGGTGTTGATGATCGTCCCCTGCTGGTTTCTGTACACCAGTTTTAGGAAGCCCCTCACCCGGACTGGCGTTCGGATCCTGGACTGTTGTTCCAGACAGATCTGCTTGAGCTATTCGGCCATCCTGCACTTCGAGCTGATCCTGAAGAACAGCCCCAGGTTGTTCAGCAACTTGCATCCTTTTATCGTTTGCCAATATTGCTTTCACTAGACCGCGCGCCCCTTCAACTATCACATCTTGCCGGTCCCAAGCCAAGAAACCTGGAGTTCCAGGGGCTCGGTTGAGGTGCACGATGTGGTACTCCCTGTTAGCCCAGCCAGGGCAAGAGTACATGATCTTTGCAGGTCGTGGGAGTGTTCGTTGCTGCTCAGCCTGATCCTCGTCTCCAGTGAAAACGGTAATGGCAACCTTGGGTTTCTTAGTCGTCCTCTTTCCCTCCACAGGCTCGATCTCTGACGCGCATTGAGCCCAGAATCGCAGAGCAGCCTCAGGGCCAGGTAGCCATATGAGACAAGTGAGAGTGATGATGTCTTTAGGTGTGAGTTCCTTCTTGGGACCAAGAGTCCGGAGCAGTTTCAGCACATAGAGGAGGAGGCCTGTCGGAGAGTCACACAGCGCATATGACGGCGTGTTTGGTTCAAAGTCACTGCGACTTTGCTGTCCCAGGCTAACAGCAGACTTCTTCTTGCTCAGCTGCGGCGTCTTCTGCTTCTGTATAGCCGAGAGGTCGTCCTTGGAGTAGCCCAAAATTGAAGAGCCTAAGAGTCGAGCAAGTTTCCATTTTAACCACTCACTGGCCGAGCCCGAGAGTGTAGGGCATGTCAGAGGAGGTGCAATAAAATGAAATCCCAGGCATGACTCTGAATAGTGAATTGAGAGGTGCCGGGCCAGTCTCCAATCAATAGCAGCAGGCGAAATTGAAGCAGAGCCGGCGTTACTTCCAACGTAATGTTCGTATGATAATCTCTTCATCAAGCTATCCAGTAGCTGAGCTGTTGTAGAAACAGGAGGTGTATTAGAAGGAAGAGCATCGCTGAAACCCAGGCCGGGCAAGGCCGGAATCACAACATGAAACGGCTGGTTTGTACCAGCATCTTCAGGATCACTCAACGGCTGAACCAGGTGACCTAGCGACAGGTTGGTCAAAGGGAAAGGGGGTATTAAGAGCAAAGGAACAGCGTTAGCATGAGGAGAGCGGGCATGAATAAAATGAAGCCGGACTGGCGTTGATGAAGTGGAAGTTTGAAAACTTGTTCTGAACTGGGGAAGAGTTTGGTTCAGCTCTTCTTCGTGATTCTGCCATGAGAATGATTCTTGCCTAGGTACTATTCGTGAGCCTCGCCCTATACAGCTCTCTCACAGAAATACTTACCAAAAGTCAACAAGAGACTCAACTTGAGGCTTTGGCTCCCACCAATCTTTTGAACGAGGCTCATGAGGCAGCCGGGTGAGCTCTAGTTTCTGTCGCGTGATATCAAGATACTTGCTTGATACCTATAAAAAAGTGAATGGTTAGTAGCTCCTCGATCGGATCGTGTCTCTCGTTGAGGTACTCACACGGATACGATAAGGCTGGACCTCATCGCCGGAGTCTCCGGGTTGCTGTTGAGACATGCTCCAATGTTGTATCAGCAAATTCAGTTCTGCTCGACTTTAATATGATGTAAGATGCCCCAGCTTCAGTAGTGACCAAATGAAGCAGAGCGAAATTGAATAGCTAGCAAAGGGACACTTTGAGACAGGTGAGAATTGAGAAATTAGGAAATGCGACCGACTGCGAGTTGCATCAATAAGCTGAGTTGCTTTCGTGTTAAACCGTAACCCGGCCAAAAAAACAACAGGACCTGGACCCTTACAACCCACCCTTCAACAAGACCCTTGTCGCGATAGCTGCTAGAATTAAGGGACCTTGGGACGTGGCTGATGACCACTGTGGCTTTAGCGTATGGGGATCACGGCACAAATGGTCCGGGACGGCTTATCATTGGTTGTGAAAGTGAAGCTCCCTGGTCGGTGGTGGCGGTGCGTACGAGTCCCCCTTGCACCCTTCGGAAATGATCACTCCAGGCATTAGACTTGGCTTTGCTTTGACCTTGCAGCTTTGCTGGCATAAATCACGTTGTTTGCCTACTTCTGCCAACTTTTGCTTTTGAAAACAAGGAATCCAATCGGTGTGGAACTGTGCAGGAGGGTATTTCCTAGATCCTGTTGGCTGTGGCTGGTCCCGAGTCAAATTAGCCACCTCCATCCCGGCGCGCCACATGTTAGCTACTGTGCCAGTAGTCAAAACTTGAAACACCAGCTGATGAGACGAGGATGAACAGCGCATGTGATTATGTGCATAGAAAACAGCATGAACTGAGCCGCTCTGATGCAAATGCGAGTTGTTGATTGACTCCAATCGGTACCCAAACGCCTGTTTCTAGACTACCCCGCCGATTCGCTTCCCATGTACCATTTGTTCTCTTATCCTACACGATGAACACTCTTGGAATCAACAATGGCAGATCATGAAACAATAGCCTCATGCTAGCAGCTGCTTAGCTTTAGGACCCAGCGCTCCCTGTTCAAGGAAAAGTTGTCAAACAGTGCAGAAAGTTCTAATTGCTCAACTAAAGATTGTTGAGCAAGCGCCCGCCCTTGTTGAACTCTTCGTGTGTCCTCCTTAATTGTTTCGCTGTGGCGCCTGGCTGCTTCCCTGCGGCCCGCCCCGGAGGTTGATCTGCCCTATCCGTGAGACAATGTTACTACCGACAGCGTCAACAGCCCCTCGAGGGGATGTCAGTGTTGGACCCTCTGGGGCTGTTTCTTGGACCCTGAAAAGCTTGATAGCGGTACCATTCCATATGCCCATAGTTCCTCTGGAAACCTGCATCTCGGTTGTAAAGATAACCCCCCACAGCAGAGACTCATACCAACCCAACGCGAGCTGGGACCATTCAAAAGAATGTACACGGGGAGCTGATGGCTCAATGCCAACAACATGGACACCTGAAATTCGTCGTAGTGTTTCTGGTGTTGGCATATCGGCTGCTAATTCTTGTCGCGGCAAGAGGGCAGACACTTGTTGAATGACTGCCAGGATTGTGTGGAGAGGCAGTTCGAGCAGCCAGCTGTCGATCCAGTGGGCCGAAGGCTCAAATGCCCCTGCCTGTGATTGTCCTGATATCGAGCGCCCGCCTAGGCTGGTGGTGCTGTTTTGCCGCGAGAAGGTGGGAACACCCGCTGGCATCTTACCACGAGCCTTCTCGGACATCCCTCGCAATTGAGTTGGGACGGCATCCTCAACGTTGGGGGTCGATGACCTCCGGGACGGGGCTTCACTTGACGTTGAACGGGCAGGAGTCTCTTGCCGTTCCTCATCGTCACTATCGTCGTTGTCGTCATCGTCGTCATCATCGTCGTCGTCGTCTCCAATCGCGAAGGCACCGTCTTCTGGAACTTCTTCCAATGACGAGTGCCGTGGCTGGGCGCTGTTTGGACTCCTCAAGCTGTCAACTGAGCTGCGCACGGATGCAGCATCGAATGGATCAAAATGGTGTCCAGAATCCTTTCTTCTTCTGTTTCTTCTCTCAATTTCCTCTTGGCCACTCTCCAGAGTGAATGAGCGCAGGGCTTCAACCCTCTTCTTGTTTTTGAGGATAGCAAATACTAACTCAGGGTTCTTTGGGTATTTGTTCTCCAGTATTGAGCTAATAGATTCCAGCAGTGAGTGGAGCAGAGCGTGATTAGTCTCATTTGCAAGTAGAAACGAAGGGGAGGACATGGAAGAGAACAGCTGCATCAGTTTTGCGCTGCTAGTGCTGCTCAGCCCCTCAAGATAAGGTGCTATGTTATTGATCACCGCCAACAGAGCTGGGTATATTGCCGATAGCTTCCCTTGACTTGTAGTGATCAGATTGTAAATTGAGTGGATAAGAAAGTCCGCATAGGTCCCTCGGAATCCCGGTACTCGAATAGACGTTGGTAGGCTCTCCTGCCCCTCGAAGTACTTGTTCAAGTTGACGCCAAAGTTAGTCTCCACGCTTAGAGTCTGGAGCAAGAAAGCGCACATGCGCACAACTCCTTGCTTGGTAGCATCGTTCTTATACTCAAGAGCATAGAAGAGGGCTAGGACAACAAAATCATGCGCTCTTTCGGTGTCCACGATGAAAGACCGAAACCTTTTGTTGCATTGAAGGATCTCCCAGAATAACATCAGTATTTCAGGGGCAAAATGGCCGGGCGACTGAGAACCTGGAAGATATGAAGTCTTCTCTTGAAGTGGTTGGTTTAGAATTCGAGTCATCCCGTCCACAATAAACTGAAAATCTTGCGGCCGGTGGAGTCGGCCTAGAAAGTGACGATAAGAGTGTTTAGGCGATGGGTTCGATGGGTTCTCAGGAATAGGGTACAACAAGAGCACCAAGAGGAACTGCAGTGAGTATGTCACAAGCATCTGCTTGCCGTCCTTGAATACAAGGGTGTTGTAAGGTACGCGCCAAGTAGCAGGGTTGTATTTCAACGTCTATAAATGAAGTCAGCATCAGTACTTCGAAGCCGAGAGATCCCAGGTGGACCAACTGTGTTGAGTAGGGAACAAAGCACAGAGAGCACGACTTGCTTGTCTGGACAAGCACATAAGTGTGTCAACGTCCGTACGCCATTCTGTGGCAGGACACCAGCAGTCATGTACAGGCTCTGGCCAGAAAGCGTCAAGAGAAGCCGCAGAATCTCTGATCTACTGCTTTCATATTCTTTTGTTGTTGCAACAGCTGTGTTGCAACCCACCCCACTCTGCCAAATCGCATAGCTAACTTTCGGTCGGCCATTGGGTTGTCGTGGTAAAGTAAGATCAGAAAAGAATAGCAAATCGACCAGCGTGTCTACCAGCTCTTCAGCAAGTGGCTTGACCTCCTCGAACTCGGCAGTTTGCGTCTTGCGCTCAGCCTCCTGAGCTTCGTCAAAGAGGATCTCGTTCGCGATAGCCCCGTGCCGAGTGCGTTTCCTTCGTTGAGCCCAAAAAAATTGTTGCTCCCAGTCACTGAGAGATTCCTTCTCGTATAGGTAAGGCAGGATACGTGTGAGTACTCGGATACAGTTCAAAGCCTCGCGTTCTGGAGCAAGTTCAGGATCAGGGAAAGATGGGTGATGACGTAGTATGAATAGACGAGAAGTGATGGCTAGGATGAGGGTTTCTAGGTTTTCGAGTGCTCGATCCCGAGTTCTTCGAATGTCGGCAGGTGTGAATAAACTAAAGACATCTTCAGAAGACTCAGGAAGCTCCCAAAACTGCGTGATATCATGTCAGTAAATGAGTTATCCATGGAAAGATAAAGTAGGACTTTGGGTGGAGCAGGCGACGAACAGAGGTCCAGTATGCATCATCCGCTGGGATATGCCGTTCTTCTGATAAACGAAAAATGCCCCGTTTGAAAACGAGCTTTGAATCACTCGCGCCCATTGCTATGGCATGAGAAGATGCCGCGAGAGTCTCTGCGGTGGGTGTCCTCTTTGAACCTTTAGTTTGGGAGGCTCCGGAAATGACGAAGTGTTGTGGCTAATGGTTAAGGTAGCAGGTAGGTGCATGCGATGGACCCCATGGGAGTGATTGACCAATCACGTGTCATACGATGTATCGTCCGACCCGATATTATACCGGAGCCGTTGATGATTCAATATTTTTTTTTTCTGGATCGGCGTCACTTGCGAAGTCTTTCCATCTTTGATTTTGGCCAACTTTGTCCAAAGTTGATCGACTTCGTCAAAGACACCCCCGATGCTTCGACTACGGCGTGGGATACCCCCCGCGGCCACGTTTGCGCATATCTGCCGGCCCCATCTACGATGCCCGCGACAATGTTCACCCCTCCGGTTATTTGCGACAGAGACTCGCCCGGACGACACTTCGATTCCCACGCCGAAACCCGCCCCTGATTCCGGAGATGTGCTCAATTCAACGAAGACCGCCTCGGAAAAGACTGGAAAGGGAGCGAAAGTCGCGGAAAGGAAAAAAGAGGGCAAAAAGAGAAGAGCTGCTCGTCTTGAAGTAAAAGGATCTACAGAGGGGACTACTGAAAACGATATCAGTGATGCATTGGCTGTGGCTAAGAGAGTCTATGGTATCGACAAGTCGAAGAAAAAGAAGAAAACCAAGGGATCCAAGCCAAGGAGTCCAAACGAACAACAGAGGACTGATAAAGCTGACTCATCAGAGGCCAGCTCTGGGGTAGTTGATCAGCAGACTGGTACCTGGGCATCACTGAAAGAGAAGTTGCAACAAGTGCTGGCTACAGAACCTTCGAAAGACCAGACCGCCCCCCAAGAAGATCATACCACTCCCTCCCCCGAACTGGATCAGCATACCATAGCAAATAGCCATGAGACAGAGCCCAGTGCAGCAGCTCCACCGTTGAAGAAGAAGTCGAAGACTGTCAAAAGGCAGAAGAAGGCTTTGCCTCCAGTTTATACCATCAAGCCCCAATACCTCAAGCTGAAAGCAGTTGAAGAAGAATCCAGGAGAAGCGTCCCCAAGCTAGCCCATCAGCTGGACAAGGTTCTTTTCAATGGCGGACCCTACCAACTTCAAGATCAGCGGACCCGGGTTTACAACTTTGACCCATACCTTGCTTCAA